ACCGCGATTTTATAACCGAGTGCTTCTCAGTCGCGGCGTGACGATGGTTTGGGGGTTGAGGGGGGGTGCTGATGATTACGAGGGGGGGGGGGGGTAGCTCTTTCGACCAGGCCTGGAATCCTCTCCAACTGAATAGGCGTTATCCTTTCCGGCAATACTACAAGAGGTGGCAAGATGTTCAACACCAATAGACATCTCTTGCAAGGCATCCTAAATAAGGATTCCCAAAGCCGCAAAAACAAATGTCCCACAGATATCTCTCCAACGGATTCTACAGCGACTCCACGCCCACGTTGGCGTCCTTATCCCGCACCTCTGACGAGGGCGGTTGGATGCGCAGGGTGCGAAATAAGTTCATCGTGCGTACTATTCTCGTGTTCACGTCCAGGGTTAAGAGCATCACGTGTCTTGTCCTCTGACCGGCTAACTTATCTCTTGGCGAGGTCTTCATTCGCATTTTAAGAATTTACATCCATTATCATAATCGACATTTCAACTCGTAACACGGCGCTAACCGCCGCTACACAATGCTCGTTCTCGTAGAGACAGAGAGAGGACGACTCCGAGGCGCCATGAGGAGGAGCCACAGACGAGGAGTAAGAAGGCAGCAGCAGCCACGCGGCGAGGAGCCGGCACCAGATCCACTCCCCAAGCTCGACGGCCCTCTACATATGAAGGTGTTACCGGCCAACGAATGAGTGGATTGCACGTGGGAGGAAACCCGAGTAGCCGGTGAACACTCACGCGTGCGAGGGGGCAATACGCTATCACCGTACAGATGGAACAGGTGGAGTCCACACTTTGCTGTACAGCCTCCTAATGGCGTGCCAGGCTATAGCACCTTCTCGACCTCCACGGAAGGAAAGTTGGAAGAGATGGAAAGATTAGTCCGCACTATGCCTTACCTCCTCCAGGCGAGCCAGGGTACGGCTCCTCCTGGACCCTCGCGCGAAGGGAGTTTCACAACAACATCTGCGCGATGATCCTCCAAACCTCTCTGCTGTCTCCGCAGGGCTGGGGTCACAGGTCAGGCGCATCGCCAGCGCAGCCACCAACCTCGCGGCCACCCATCAATCACCCTCGAGAGTCATCTCGGCGCGCACGTGACTCCACTTTGTATGTTTAAGGTCTCGAGATTGCAGTCGCATTCAGAATTGTAAAGCAAATCCGAGTTGTATTGTTGGGTCCGATTTCACGCTCGATAAGAACTCACAACGGACTCGTCGTAATGAAATAAATAAATAAAAGTATAAACATTCTACTGTGCTCGTGTCTCTGACGCAACACGTGCCAACACGCCCCGTGAAGGCCACCGGTCCGTGTGTCGGCCTCCCACACTCGCGGCAAGCAGCAGGAACATCTCCACCAGCCCTTTGACAACGAATCTTGGACTGGTTTTTATTTTTGGCGATTTTTATTTTTTAATCACGAAAACTTTGGGGCAAGGAGCGAACCGTCGGGCAGGCTTCGCCCGGGAATGGCGTGGGTTGGTGGGGGGGAGGGGCCCAGGGCGTAGCCCGTGGAAGGCAGCCAGGCAAGACCCCATTCGCCGTGCCGGGGACTGGGCGTCTGTGTGTCACCGCGACCCCTGAGCGCCTCTGGAAGCCCACCACACACTCTTCGCCCGTCTCAAACGCGCGACTCGTGCTATTGTATTCATGCGTATGGGAATGTACTTTTGTACTTATTTAAACTCAACGAATTTTTTTATTTATTTTACCAGGTAAAGCCCCACTGAGCTATGTAGCTCTTGTTCAGAAGCGACCTGGCTACAAATGATAGCTCAACGAAGTGGCTTATCACGTGGAAATTGCAACCCACATACTCTTAACGCACGTCAATTCTAAATGTGGAAGGAAAACCGGAGGACACGGAGACAAATCGACGCGACCACGGAGAGAGACACGCATACTCCAAATATACAGCAGCAGGCGTCAGGCTTGGGATAGAAGCCACGACCTCCTGCATACCAGGCGAGGTAGTTAACATATCGCCACCGTGGAGAGCCGTACTGCGTTGCAGGACTCTACGTACGGTGCGAGAGGAGTTCAACATTCATATATATGCATAGATTATTTATATATAAAATATTTTGAGATAATTCTTGATGGAGTTTTATTTTATTTTACAAGTGGGGAGGAAACCAGAGCGCCTGGAGAAATCCCCACGCCTTGGGTGTGTGGACTTCACTCCATCCCGATGGAGACACGTGGCGATGAGTCTGTACTGCCTTCTGCGGGCGAGCCAGGGTATGGCACGCAGATCCCCTGAACGGTGCTCTCACTCACGTCGACGAGCGCGCGCGTGTGTGTGTGTGTGTCACGTGCTGACATCTGTGAAGACCTTCATAGTTCATCGGATTCCTACTGCAATCTAAATAAAGACAGATTCTGATTCTGTGGGATGGAGGTGGGACATCTAAGAAACGTTGCCCATTGTTTAAACTGCCGCGCCTGGAGATCGCCGCATGGAACTTTGTTGTCATGATCCTGGCATTAACCACTCCCTTCTCCGTAGCAGCGGTGGTCCACACGTGGGCCGCCACCCACGGGTGGAGGATGGTAAACATCTGCGACTAACAATTCGTGCGCTTAATAAAATAACAGCCTATGCCAATAGATGGCGTTGGGACGTGTAATTATAATGATATATATAATTACATGACGGTCGTGTACAGAACACTGATTGAGGGGTTAGCTCGACGGTGGACAGCTGAGCTGGGCGAGTGCTTGTCGAGTGGTGTGGGTCTGTGTGATTGTTGAACTTCTGTCGCACCGTACGTAGCCAACCGTGCTCAGCGGAGGTGCGGGCGGAAGGACAACAGAGCAAACACAAAATTATGTTCTAAAGAAATGAGTTCACAATCTCGATGATTAAAAAGTGCATCATTGTATTGATGGGAAAGGGTGGGCAAAGGTTAAATAATTGGCGGGGGGGGGTGCAGAAAAATTATAGAGGAGGGGGGCAGAGCGTATCGGTGATGATTATCGGTGATGATATCCCATGGGGGTAGGGGGGTAATTACAAACTACATTGGGCCCCCCATTTCAATTGCATACAAACCCTCGCGAGATGATGACAGAAGAGATATAGAGAGGAGCTAGCGATGCAGTGAGATAAGAGGGGTGTAGTCAAAAGAGGGATGTAGAGAGAAGGGGGCTAGAGGATGTTGTTGTTGTTTACCCAAGAAACTGGCTCGCGGAGTCTGAAGGCGTCTTCTCAAAAGGGTCCTGCTGCTGGTATACAGTCAGCATGTCTCATCAGAATGTCTCTCAAGCGAGTCCTGCTGCTGCTGGTCAGTTGGTCTCATCCAAACTGAGTTATTTGACAGGCACTATTTAAGCACTAGGATGTTGGCCAATACCAGTTGCCTTTATATTCATTCATTTGTATTTTCATCTCAAGTTTATTCTGGGTTTAAGGAGCTCATATGAAACCGGAACTCCTTTGGGAATCTAAGCTTTTGCACTATTATTATTATTGCTTACTCCTACGCGTAATTACCCAAGAAAGCCTCAGCCTCATGCCGACTTTTCAAGAAGGTCCTGACCATTCCTCGCAGCGGGGGTGCGCGGAGCGAATAATAATCACAATCCACGTGGAGCCCTTTGCTGTTATTGCTTCAAATGTGGAACATTAGGAGCGAGAGGCGGGCACGCGCGCCACGCCAGCGGGCCACGTCACGGCATCTCGAGCGCACTCCGCGAGCGCAGCGGACGCGGCGAGAAGTCGCCGTCGTCTTGTTGTGCGGTGAATACACCACACCAGCACCACCAGCACCACCAGCACCACCAGCAGTACCAGCACCACCACCACCAGCACCACCAGCAGCAGCACCAGCAGCAGCATCACCAGCAGCACCACCACCAGCACCACCAGCACCACCAGCACTACCAGCACCAGCACCACCACCAGCACCAGCAACACCACCACCGCAGCAGTGGTAACCAGAGGTCACCCAATGGATTATAACCACGAAGTTCTGCAGCAAAGCAGCGAACGCGCTTCCGCTTGACCACCGCGTCACCCGCCCTCGCCTGCTTCTCACGTCCAGCGCCGCCACAAACACCTCCTCATACTCCTCCTCTTCCTCCTCCTCGTCAGTCCCGACGACGCAGCAGATCCCTCTGGCTTCGATCTCCCACCCTGAAGCTTCTGGGCCGCCACCCCTGAACCGCCATCATCCACTGCATTAACTATGGCAGCAGTAGCAATGCTGATGATCGTGATGATGTTGATGCAGAAATGGAAAGTTTAACACTTTCCGGGCAGTATGCAGCGGCTTTGCTTGTCCAGAACAGAGACCATGGAACTCATGACGACTCAATGCCCGGTTGGCAAAAAAAACCCGGAGGCGGCATCATGAGTGACGCAATCGTCTGGCTCAACAACCACCTCGATGGACAATTACAGCTGTTGCCCTTACATCAACATCGGCCACACAGCGCAGACGTACATAGACTCACACCGAGACCCATAGAGACCCACTCGCACAGACATACATAGATTCGCAGAGTCCCACAAACTAACAAAGTGACCCACAAACCCACACAGAAATATATAGATTAAAAGAGACCCACAGACCCACACTGAGACTCAGACTCAGTCCCATATACTCACACCGAGACCCAGACCCATATACTCACACCGAGACCCAGACTCAGACCCATATACTCACACTGAGACCCAGACTTAGACCCATATACTCACACAGAAATATATACTCCTGACGCAATCATCTGGCTCAACCACCTCGTTGTCAGGGACCAGCGGGCTTGTGAGACGGAGAAGCCGCGCTCAGACACTCACAGTGAGACACTCACAGTGAGACACTCACAGTGAGACACTCACAGTGAGACACTCACAGTGAGACACTCACAGTGAGACACTCACAGTGAGACACTCACAGTGAGACACTCACAGTGAGACACTCACAGTGAGACACTCACAGTAAGACACTCACAGTGAGACACTCACAGTAAGACACACCGACACGCGTCCTTGAATACAAAATGATTTATTAACAAGTGTTATGAAATTCCATATTAAAGATATTATTATATATGCGTTAAAAAGGAAATTATCTTTCACAGTATAGATTTATGAACCTAAATAACAATAATTACAACAACGCCGCTGACATTTGATCGTGAGTGACAGCGAGAGAGAGAGAGTTCGTGCGAGTGACGCAGGGACAGCGAGACTCGTGGCGCTCCCCCAGTGGAGGCCGAATCGATCGTGGGCCCTGTGACCCAACCACCACCACCACCAAAGATAAAGATCCCGCGTATAGCGTTAAACACATGATTGGGGCAAGTGCTGTTAGCGATAGCGAGCACACTTGGGGGGTGGGTGGGCAGCGCCACGCCCGACCGCCTTTGTCTCCCTCATGGCGATGTTTATACTTCGCACCAGGTATTCTTTTGAGGCAGAGTCGAGCTAGGCGAGGCTCAGGCAAGGTTCGACCAAATTGCCACTTTTTTTGCTGACGAGCACGAATGGAACCGGGGTCGCAGGGTTTGTAGCGCAGCGCGCTAACCACTGCGCCACCGCTCCCCACTACCGCCTCCCCTCTTCTTCCTCGTGACAATTCTTCCAACCACCCCGAGACTCTCCCGACCGCAAACCCCCGAACCTCGGCGCGAGACATCGCGTCCCTGCGAGCGGTCGTGGCGAGGTGGAGGGGGTGAGGTGGGTGGAGGTGGGTGGAGGGGTTGGTGGGGGGGTGAATTCGAGACCGCGGACGGAACTCGCGGGGCTGTCGGCTCCTCGAGAAACTGGCTGCGCTGGGCGCGAGAATCCGCCGGAGCGAGCGCTCCCCGGGGTACCGCTGAACTCCTCCCCCAGGGAGAAGAACATTCCACGGTGGGGGGGAGGGGCGGTTGGGCCCATTTGAGTCCCCAAATTGGGGGGGGGGGGCTCTTACCCTGTAACACTTTGGCGTGGTGTAGAATATCTCAACGCGTGGTGGAGGTGGTGGTGGTGGTGTTGGTGGCGAGACGTGTCAATGGATTATAAATTGTGTTGGTTGCGGGGGGCTGGTAGAAGTAATGGAGGTCCATTTATGGACGCCAATGTGGGGGGGGGGGGGTGAAGGGGGGCAATAAAGTACGTTGCTCATTATTTATTTAAAGAACAAACATTACACGGACACTCCCTCGAGAATGAACATCACATTTGCAAGGCTGTGTGCACGATGGCGAGCAAACACACGGACTAGCTCCACGCTCCTGAAAGTTAGGCGGGGGGGGGGGGGCTGGAGAACCGCCCCCACCCCGAGCACGCTCCTTGTGTGGTGAGGGTGGTGGTGGTGAGGGTGGTGGTGGTGAGGATGGTGGTGGTGAGGGTGGTGAGGATGGTGGTGGTGAGGGTGGTGGTTGGATGGCGAGGTAAGGCGAGTTCCCGAGAACCACGCACGCGTTCGCCGGACTCGGGAACCAAAACCAAAGTCAAGAAACTCAACAAAAGCAAATCATCACAAAACCCGGCGTGGGTGTGCAAGCGACCAGCGCGCACCCATCATCACATCATAAAGCGGCGGTCGATAAATTGCAGCAGCTGTTACTACTGCTCCAGCTGCTGGTTATAGCCGGTCGCGAGTCTCGTTTGTTTTACCGAAGATGAATTAAGAGAATCGCGTTGCGGTCAATGATAATGATAAACAAACATCAGCAACAACCACCGATGACATTCCATAGCAACAACAACAACAACAACCAGCGAGCGAGCGGGCGGGCTACGGAACGGCCACGTGTTGAGGATAGTTGCTATGCATCATCACTGCCGCACGGGGGTTGACATATGTTGCTGCTGGGCGTTGATGGCACACGTCATGGCGAGTTGGGGAGGGGGAGGAAGTCTGAACGCGGCTCCCTGAGTCCACGTTGGCACCACCCGGTGGCGCGGTGCGCACCGCTTCCTCAGCACTGCCACCACCGTCGAGATGTGGCCCATGACCGGCGCCTCGCGTGCTCACCGCTTGACACGAGGGGGCGAGGCGAGGGGATTACGAAGCAGCAGTTCCAATCGTGTTGGCCGTGTTCATAGTTTGGTGCCGCTAAAGTTGTGCCACTTTAGGGTGGTACCGAGTTCTGCCCACTGTGATTTCCTTATTTTAGTTGCATCACGAGACAAGCGGCACACTTTAAGGGGTGGTGGGGGGCGAGGCAGGAGGCGGTTGGAACCATGGTTAATAATTAATTTGTACAATTTATTATTTGAGTTTTGACGATACTCTTAAACAGCCGCTAATTCAATAATGTTGTAATATATATGTACTTGTATATTACAAAATATAATAATCGATTGGTCTGCTGACGTTCTGTTTTTTTAAACTAAAAAACAGAAGTAGACAAAAAACATGTTTTACAGCAACAGCAGCAGCCACGGGCGACATCATCTTGAGGAACGTGACTCTGACTTATTGCCCTGGGGGCAAATTCTTGCCTCTCTCTCTCTTTCTCGCTCTCCTCGACTTTCAGAGAGAGAGAGAGGAAAGGGAGAGATAAACAAGAGAGAGTGTCCGTGACAGCATCGACCTGGGAGAGGTCGAGGGTCAACTCGACTCGCCGCCCTAACCGGGATCTCAGCTCGCAAACGCTCCGATATAATTTACAGGCCACTCACTCGATCACCGCCGGGCCTCGCGGCGCTACGAGGAGACGACGCAGGGGGGTTGCCAGCATTCAGGTGTGCGAGATCACATGGGGCGGGTTGTCGTCTGCGAGCGGTCGTCCCAACGGTTCGATCTCCGATCCTGGTGCCACTGGTGGCTTAAAGGAAAAGGTGCTCACCATCACCACCAATAAAACACAAACAAGCAGCTCTTTTCTTGTAGCTACCTATGCTGGGTGTCTCAGGAGTTTAGAGCTTCGTAAAATTAACGTTGTCACTCTAGTGATGCCAAGCCGTGGGAGGGGGTCGACTCATCATCTCTCCGGAGTTGATTAAGTGAGGAGGTCAAAAGTATTTTTTTTTGCTTTGGAGAGACTTGCCATAGGAATGTGGAAATGTCCACCAGTGGCTCTGCAGGGCTGTAAACAGGAGGCGATGAGTACCAATGCTTCAGTGTTCATTTGAGCTGCAGGAAACCACCTTGAAATGATGTAATGGAACACCTGACCATAACTTTAAAGTCTCTGTTTTGTTTTTCTTATTTTCGAAAAAACGAAACTTCCTCTTCAAGCTCACGTCGGGACATCTGGGGACACGCAGTCTCCGGCGGTGTAGCTACAAGAGAAGAGCCCACTGCATTCTGGGGTCGCGTCTTGGCATTTATCACACAATCACTTACATCACACACTCCACCTGCTGGCCAATACAGCACGTCACTCGGCCCCTTAAAACATAATTACATGAATTAATAAAGAACAAAGTTACTGGATTATATTTCATTAAAATAAAATATATATTTTGTTTAAATCTGACTCTTATTGTTTCTTTCTCTCTCTCTCATATCCATATGATCGCATTGCAAAGCGCTCCCCTCATGTGCTGGTTTACACGACGCATCTCTCACTAGAGCCACGTGTCATTCCGCCAGGGCTGAACAAGTCTTTGGTAAGACACCCAGGGCCCACCCAGGGCCCACACCCAGGGCTATTACAACACGGGGCAGACAAATTGAGACATTCCACCACCACTACCAACAACAACAACAACCGCCATTCGCCACTAAGTGGCGGTGGCATCACTACGACGCTTGTGCCAGGCCATGTGCACCTTGAGGCCACGTGAAGTGTCGAACGCCCGCTGGCAGGAGATCACGGGGCAGACCCAGATGCCACGGGTCGACTGACTGAGACTACCAGCACAACCACCACCACCAACCACGTCAAAGCAGCCAGTAGCTAAGTACCACTCCCCCACAACACCCCCCCCCTTTTTCAAACAATTCCATTACAACACCAATCAAGCAGTGACACAACAGCCACCCTGTGCACGGTGGGGATGTCCCCACTCATGAACGGACCCTGCCATTTACTGGGGTAGATTACAGACGGGACCCGTGCAGTTCACCCCTCCCAACCTGTGAGTCTCTGTGTGACAGAAGAGAAGAGAGGAACTCCACTCCCATTGCATTGAGCTCACGTGTGGGCACCGGTCAACTCACGCAGTTGTTTCAAGGGGGGCGGAACTCCAACGACGTTTGTTCAAATTGTCACGAGCGTCTCCTGGCCACGTCTGGTGGTGGTGGCGGGGGTCTCCGAGCCGTGTCCTGACCACGGTGGAGGAGTCGGGGCACACCCCCCCCCCCCCCCACCACGGGAGGTCGGCCTCCGCTGACGAGGTGAGGGGGGAGATGGCAGAGAGCCAAGACGCGGCTCCTCCACCTGCGTGGCGAGGAATTTGTTTTGGCGAAATTTACTCCGGCTCCGGGGACCCCACGTGCCCCCCTCCCCGCCACCACCCCCCACGTCCTTGCCCCATCTCTTATCCCACCCACCGTTGACTGCACACAGACTGAGGTGCTCGGTGTTCAAACACGACGACTTAACAAAAAAAAAGAGATGAGGAAAATGGGACAAGAGCAGCAGAATATCCCAACTCCTTCCGGTGTCAGATCGCCGCATGAGCACAATGTGCATCGTAAACCCTGGATGTGCATGTGTGTGTGTGCGCGGGGTTGGTGGGTGTGGGGGGGATGTCCCTCGTTTGATCTACGGTCATTCCCCTCCCAAGCGGCGACAGCAGTGGATTCAACCTGCCCCTTGCCTCTCTCTCCCAGAAAAAAAAAAAAATCACTCTCAATCCAATGTACACACACCCACTCCATCTCCCTACCCCCCAAGTACACACGCCCCCCCCCCCAATCGATTATAGCTCTCCCTTAACATTATTATTATACATTACAGCTCTCCCCTGTACATTACAGCTCCCACTATACATGTGCACATGAAGATTCCCCCAACTGAAAGCCGGTTGGGGGTGTTGGGAGGGGGGGGGGCAGGAACGTGCCCCCCACCTTTCCCAACAAAAACAAAAAAACTCGAAACGCCCTCCCCCCTCCTTCGTAGTAATAATAATAATAGCATCGTACAAAGCGCAAAGCAACAACACCAACAAACAACGCCCACTCAGCCTCGCCCGGGACCCCGCTCCTGCTGCACCAGCTTGGAGGAGGTGGAGGAGGTTGGGGGGACAACGAGGCCGAGCCACTGGCAGCACGGGGAGTGGAAGGGGGCGGAGAGAAAGCGATGGACGGAATCGTCGTCAACTCGCACGCAGGCACAAATCTACCACCCTCACCCACCCACCCCGCAGAAGCTTTACAGACTCGCCGGGGGCGAGCGCTGTTAGCGGGCACCGAGTATCGAGCTCCGCACAGCAACCGACGGGGAGTTGGCGTGGTCAACTACCGAGCCACCTCCCAGCCACACGCACTGCCACCCAGTGTCAGGCAGAGGTAATCAACTAATAAGGCACACGTACAAAGACGCAAACGCGAGGCGCGCGCGTGCACACACACACACCAACCGTTCACTCCTCCAGAGAGGAGCAGGAGGGTCTCACGGACGCCGACCCGTCGTTCAGTCCAGCTGAACACCTTGCTCTGACGCCACAATCCGGGCGTTACGGGAAATGTTTTTTTTTTGCGTCCCACATTTGTTTACTCTTCTTTCTCTTCTTGGTTGTTTTTGTTCTTCGCCACGCACCCCGGCCCTCACCCCCTCGGCTTGGGGGTACGGGGGGGGGGGGGACGTGTGGTGGCGGGAGGGGGTGGGATGGTGGTGGTGGCGGCGGCGGTCGGGTGGAGCGGGCCACGCTCGTCACACCAGCATGTGGCGCTTGCGGTGCAGCGCGAGGTGGTCGGAGCGCGAGAACGAGCGCTCGCAGTCCACGCACTTGAAGGGCTTCACGCCCGTGTGCTTGCGGTAGTGCCGCGTCAGCTCGTCCGAGCGCGCAAACTTCCACGTGCAGCCGTCCCACGTGCAGCGGTAGGGCTTCTCGCCTGCACAAGGGGTGAGGAGGGGCGGGAATCACCGAATTAGCATGGTCGCTTTCATCATCACCATCATCACCACTGCCATTGTCATCATAGTGATGGTCTCATCCTCCTCTATTGAACGAGCGCAGACGACATTGGCTTGTCTCTCATGTATAACTATGTTTAACTATGGGTATCTATGTGTAACTATTATAACTATGGGTATCTATGTATAACTATGGGTATCCATGTATAACTATGGGTATCCATGTATAACTATGTTTAACCATGGGTATCTATGTATAACTATGTTTAACTATGGGTATCCATGTATAACTATGGGTATCCATGTATAACTATGGGTATCTATGTATAACTATGGGTATCTATGTATAACTATGGGTATTCATGTGTCTCTATGGGTATATCTATGTGTCTCTATGGGTATCTATGTGTCTCTATGGGTATCTATGTATAACTATGGGTATATCTATGTATAACTATGGGTATATCTATGTATAACTATGGGTATCTATGTGTCTCTATGGGTATATCTATGTATAACTATGGGTATATATATGTATAACTATGGGTATCTATATGTATAACTATGGGTATATCTATGTATAACTATGGGTATATCTATGTATAACTATGGGTATCTATGTGTCTCTATGGGTATCTATGTATAACTATGGGTATATCTATGTATAACTATGGGTATATCTATGTATAACTATGGGTATATCTATGTATAACTATGGGTATATCTATGTATAACTATGGGTATCTATGTATAACTATGGGTATATCTATGTATAACTATGGGTATCCATGTATAACTATGGGTATCCATGTATAACTATGGGTATCTATGTATAACTATGGGTATCTATGTATAACTATGGGTATCTATGTATAACTATGGGTATCTATGTATAACTATGGGTATCTATGTATAACTATGGGTATCGATGTGTCTCTATGGGTATCCATGTATAACTATGGGTATCTATGTATAACTATGGGTATCCATGTATAACTATGGGTATCCATGTATAACTATGGGTATCTATGTATAACTATGGGTATCGATGTGTCTCTATGGGTATCCATGTATAACTATGGGTATCCATGGATAACTATAGGGTATCTATGTTTAACTATGGGTATTTATGTATAACTATGGGTATCCATGTATAACTATAGGTATCCATGTATAACTATGGGTATCTATGTATAACTATGGGTATCTATGTGTCTCTGGGTATCTATGTATAACTATGGGTCTCTATCTATAACTATGGGTCTCTATGTATAACTATGGGTATCTATGTGTCACTACGTGTCTCTACACTTTGTGGTCCCCAGCGCCTGCGCACACAACAGGTGAATGGACCACGCGCGCCCTCTACCGACGCAAGGCCGCAAGTGCGATAGACGTCGTCGTCCGGAGGAGGCGCGCAGCCTCGCCAGACGACCCACAGGTGCCCCCGTGTGGCCGCACGGAATTATTCAACTGAAAAAAACAACTGTGTGGCCTTATCTTCTTGGTTCTTTCGGTAAAGTCACGTAGAAGGGAAGTAATAAAATAATAAAAATAAAACATAATAAAATCATTCTCACGACGTTTCGGCCACAACGCAAGCAGCCGTCCTCAGGTGGAGAACAGGTATGTCGGGGAGACAGCGTCTGAATGCTTGCGTTGTGGCCGAAACGTGAGAATTATTTTATTATGTTTTCTTTTTATTATTTTATTACTTCCCTTCTACGTGACATTACCGAAAGAACCAAGAAGATGAATCCCTGCAGTCACGAAAGCTTTAAATCGAGATGGGTGGCCTTAATTGGAAAAATATATATCTAATCGCCGACGTTTTGGGTAACGGACGTGATCCATAGCACGTAGATGAGAGATTGTGCTTGGTTACCCCATGGGGGCGGGGATTGATGTTAATTACATCTTTCAAGAATGTTTTTTTTATTACTACCAGTTTTTAATCTAGCATACGAATAGTTACACTCACAGTGGCTGTTCAGCACCAGACAAACCCTTCGCGATAAAGAACAACTCATCGCTTCTAAAGAAACTCATTCGCGGAATTGCTTAGCTCAAGATAAAGTGGCAAATAAAAAGTCAACCGTGAAGGGTGCTCGCTCCTCGCTCGCTCTGCACGTGTCCCTGGCTGGCAGTGGCGCAGGCCGTGCAACTGCACCGGGACTCCCCGTGCCCGGAGTGGCCCACGTGGTGGGGCTGGTGAGTTAGTACGCGAGGAGGAGTTTGGACAAGGGGCGCGAGTTTGTTGTGCTTCCTCGCACCTCCCATTAGCACGGGCGGCTACGTGCGGTGCGCGAAAGAAACCCAATGTGCGCAACTCGATCCGATCAATCCGAGAGTTGTAAACGAGCAGCCGATGTTCAGAGACCGAAGCGTGGGCGACGCACGCTGGGAAAATGCAACTCAGCGCGAGGAGCGGCAGAATAAATTACTGTTTGTACAGTAGCCCGGTCTTTGAAAGCACCGATTGGCCACGGCTGACCGGACTTCCTTTGCAACTGTCGCCTTAAAAACAACCGGCGACACGGCGCACGATCGCACCGCGACTCAACCTGGTCCCCGGCCGCTCGCCGGCCCCTCACCGGTGTGCGTGCGGCGGTGAGCCTTGAGGTGCGAGCTCTTGGTGTAAACTTTGTTGCAGCCGTCGAAGTCGCAGCGGTGGACTCGCTTGCGGCGCGCCGAGTCCGGCGAGTCGCAGTCGCGCGCACGCTTAGTCCGCGGGGTCACCAGCGGGGAGCCTGACCTGCGGACACAACGCGGTGGGGCAGAGGAGGGAGGGGGGGGGTTAGCGACCTGCTTGCTGTACCGCCAAGCAGCGGACGCGCACCAAGTTCACTCCGCGCGGTGCCACGGGCAAGCAGTTGCGGGGCTGCACCTTCGCTCTTCGACTGACGTCCGCGTGTTCCGTCTCTCCCGACGGGCCACGCGGGGCGCGCAGTGGGCCCCACTCGGCCTTGCCGCGCCCCCCGTCTGCCAGTGGGGGGCGGTGTCAGCCGCGGGAACCCCCACAGCGAAAATCCGACGTTGGGGGGCGCCGAGGGCGAGTTCGCAAACGATTGGAGGTCCCATTAAGAACAACAACGGCGCGGTTGGCTACGTACGGTGCGAAAGAAGTTCAAAATACACGCACACGCATACAATTTGGGAGCGAGATGGTGTACGCTACGTGCGTTTCGTATCGCTGTGTATCGCTGTGTCCCGCAGGGAGAGTTATCGATCGGTGCGTTTTAACCGACACGATGTTTTGGATCGCGGACACCGACGAACGGGAACGGGAGATGCACACGCGAGGAATTGCACTGAGAGACGGGAAGAGGAACGCGTGGATTTAGCGTGCACAAGTCAGAGGACGTCGTCGTACTGACATCATAGGAAAAGTAACAACACACTTGCAACGCTAAATATATATAGAGCATCGGTGACGACTCGGGCAATGGCGTGACAATAAATGTCGTCGGGTGGTGGAGGGTTGACGACAATAATTTCTCGGTATAAAACTCGCGCCGCCGCGAACCACCGCCGAGAAGGCAGCCAAGCCACCGCCTTGGCACCGCGCCGTCCACTGCAACCGCGACCCTCAGCCACAAGAGGCCGCCAGCCCCCCACGCGGCACGCAACACAAAGACGCGCGGCTCGAGGCCAAGACGCCGCCGCGCGCGGCTCGAGTCGCGGCGCTGCTCCGCGAAGGAAGCGGCGACGATGGCCGCCGAGTCGCGGAGGAGTCAGGAGCAGAGTCGGGATCTTAGCTCAAGACGGCGCGAACCCCGAGGACGGGGAGCGGTCCGACTGAGCAATTCGACGAACCCACGCGCGCGCCAGCTCGAGCTGCTGCTGCTACTGCTGCTGTTGTTGCTACTTCTGATGCTGTTGATACTGCTGCTGCTATTGTTGCTGCTGTTGCTTCTGTTGTTGCTTTTGTTGCTGTTGTTGCTGTTGTTGTTGCTGTTGTTGCTGTTGTTGCGTTGCCGGCAGGTGGTGCACACGCTCAGATCACTACGGGACACATTCTCGTCAGCAGTAAATTGAGCCACTCCAATGCAGTGAGTTTTACATGAAGCCGACCATCATTCTCATATTGTTGTTGTGATATTTCAGAACTGCCGGGGGAGGGGCGGGGGTGGAGACACGCAAGGCCCCCCCCCCCGGCTACCGCTGACCCCCAGTGCGCACGGCGGCGCGGGGGTGTGGGGGCGTGGGCCGCGCGTGTTCCGAGTGGAGACGCTCGTGTTGTGTTTTTCCTCGCTCGTCGACAACACCCAGAGAGAACGGGACACCGCCCCCCCCCAAATACCCCCCTCCCCTCTATCCCCCCCCCCCCCATCCTCCACCTCCACACCCTACAGCACAACAACAACTCCTCCCAAATCTTCAGCATCAACACCGCCCCCGGCATCTCCCCAAACTCTCGCTCTCTGCTGCTGCCAGACTCAGACTTGCAGGGGCGGCTGAGCACGTGGGGGGCAGTGTGGGCTTTGGGGGTGGGGAGGGGGGCGACGAATCAGAACTTCGAGGTCCAGTGGGTGGATAAAGGGTCGAACAAATGCGGGGGGAGGTGGGGGGTTAAGGATGGAGTTGGGTTTTAAGGTTGCACGAGTGGGGCGCTGAAGGGGGATGGACTTTGGAAGCGAATGTAGAGGCGGGGAGGGGGGCAGAAAATGTCGATTCAGTTTTGGGGGCAGCGAATATAAATGAAGTTGGGGGGCGGTGAATGGAAATGAAGTAGATGTGGGGGAGAGGGGGGTATGGAGGCGATGTGGATGGGAGGCGTTTGCAGAGTTAGGGAATTGAGACGTTTCCTCTCTGTCGTTTTCCCTCTACCCGCCGTGTCCTGTGTACGGAAAGCCTCGCGGGGGCGGGCGAGTGGGCGAGGGCTCGCGGGTGGTGGGGGGCTGCTGGGGGCTGCTGGGTTGAGAGCGAGGATGGCGGTGGTGGTGGTGGCGGTGGCAGAGAGGCGCATTGTTTGGGGGTGCCGAGAGAAAGCTCAGAATGTGATGCTCGCAACAAGAATCATCACCATCTTCTTCATCATCACCAGCGGCCATGATCAATCCCCTGCTGGAAGAAGTCCTGCCAAATCTGCAACTATTTCTAGCGGTCCTGCGATTAAATAATCCACTCCGGTCACCCCTGCACACCGCGCCGATTCATTCGTCGTTCCATCGGCTTTGGTCGGTGGTTGACGGTCCTCTCGGCAGAAGCCTTCCCCATTCTTTGCCTGCCACTCCGTCCCTACTCTTGACCGTCCACATCATCGCCCCTTCGAGCCGTGACGCGTCCTGCCCGGCCCAGGCTCACCTGTTCTCACGGCCTTACAAACACAAAGCCACGCACTAAACCCCACGCGCCCCCTACTGCGAACACGTGGCAGGACCCTCTTGAAAAATAGCCACGAGACTCGGCGAGGTTTTCCAGAGTTAAAGAAGCACAAAAACAATCATGACACCCCCCCCCCCCCCCATTACAATTGAACTAGTCTCCCACACTAGTTCAACCAACCCTAACATTCAACCAGCCAACCCCCCTAACACTACCCCCTGAGCGCTTACAAACTGGCCAACCAGACCCCACCTCGCGTTAGTATTCCCAAGTCTAGGACAGCTTAACCCATCACAACGTTAATCCGAGCTATAACTGACTTCCTGGGCAACCAGCTCCTAGCATTACCCCCCAGCCCCCCAGTCCTATCGCTGACCTTAACCCCAACCCGAGCACCACCCCCGGGGCTTAAATAACAGAGGCTCTGCATTGTTGTTTCCCCATTGAACTTCCATTGTCAACGGAGTATCTCCCCCGAACTCTGGTGAAAACGGATTGGTTGAAGCGTGGGAGTTGGTTCATTGGGATGGCGGTGTGTGGGAGGAAGAAGGGTGGAGGGACAAGGACTGACACGCACACACGTGATGCTGCTGCTGCAGCAGCTGTGACGCACGCGCGAATGGGGCACGCGCGAACCCCTCCCGGGCCCCGGGCAGGTGACGCGCGCGCCGCCCGCGCTGCGACGCCGCGGACGACGCCGCGGAGCGGAGTTGGTGCGGGCGCGAGCACGCCCCGGCAACCGCGCCCTGCCCGCACGGCTGCCGGGCCCATCGTCTCGTCTCCCTCCCTCCCACCCACCCACCTCCTCCTCCTCCCACAGACTACATGCGTCAAACTCGACATCCCACCGTCCGTGCTTATACCCCACCCCCTCGCCCCTTCTGCGATTGACTCCCTTTCAAACGTCTCCCCCCCACTCTCTCTCTCCCACCCCAGCCCCCCGTTTCCCCCCCCCCCCCAGCCCCCCCCGTCTCCCAGCCCCCCCCCCCCCCGTCTCCCAGCCCCCCCCCCGTCTCCCACCCAGCCCCCCCGTCTCCCACCGTCTCCCACCCCAGCCCCCCCCCGTCTCCCACCCCAGCTCCCCCCGTCTCCCACCCCAGCCCCCCCCCCCGTCTCCCACCCCAGCCCCCCCCCCCCGTCTCCCGCGCCAGCCCCCCCCCGTCTCCCCCCCAAGCCCCCCACCCGTCTCCCCCCCAAGCCCCCCACCTGTCTCCCGCGCCCCTCCCCTTCCAATACCTCCTCCCACTTACAAAGACAAAGATCCCCCATATAGCCTGTTATAGCGAGCAGCTATGAAGGCCGGCACGGCACACGAGGGGGTGGGTGGCCAGCACCACGCCCGGCCGTCTTTGTTTCCCCAGTGCTGGTAATTATGATGACCTATCAAAAGCTACCTCCCACATTTTCACTCACCTCCTCCCCCGTCTCCCATCTCGGCCCGCTAACCCCCCACCTGTCCCCCCCCCCCCCCATCTGCCCCCTCTCACCCATCTCCCAACACTCCCCTAGCTCTCGTCCCAGCTCAGTCAGTCACGTGACCATCCAATAGACCACCACCACCACCGCTCAGAAGAGGAGGAGGAAGAGGTCTGCGACTGTTGTCGTTGTGGCTTTGGTGACGAGGCGAGGGGGGAGAATGGTGGCGGCTCGTGGTCATTCACTTCTGAGACTCCATGACGCAACTTTGAACGCGATCGTTCCCACGTTCAGAGCGAGCGAGCGTCTTGCGTCACGAGCGAGTGGTGAGCGGTGAGTCACCGCGCATGGAGGCGTCACTCACCGCGATCACAATCTCCCCATTCATCTGCCCATTATTCGGACGTTTTGAATGGTGCCTCAAACGTGTTTAATGTTTTTGAAAGAATCCCTCATTTGTTGATATTACAATTTCACCAATTTTTAAAAAAAAATCTTTTAACTCCCCTCAAGATTGTCCATCCTCACATCAAAAACCGTGGCCGCATGTTGACAAGTTCAATTGTCAAGTGAAACGAAACGGCAAGTTAAATTGTCAAGTTAAATTCCAAACCGCGTGGTTCTACTGCACCCGGGAGCGGGGTCGTGCCCACTGCCGGGCGTCTCCGTCTGGCACTTGGCCACCACCACCACCATCGTTACCACCACCATCGTTACCACCACCATCACCATCAGCACCATCACCATCAGCACCACCACCAACATCGTTACCACCACCATCGTCACCACCACCATCACCATCAGTACCACCACCACCATCGTTACCACCACCATCACCATCAGCACCTCCACCACCATCGTTACCACCACCACCACTATCAGCACCACCACCGTCGTGGTCCCGCTACGGCGTTCGCCCTACGCCGACTGTGAAGAGACACCGACGCCTGCACAGGCCTCACCCCCACCTCACCCCCACCTCACCCCCACCTCACCCCCACCTCACCCCCACCTCACCCCCACCTCACCCCCACCTCACCCCCACCTCACCCCCACCTCACCCCCACCTCACCCCCACCTCACCCCCACCTCACCCCCACCTCACCCCCACCTCACCCTCTCGCCCGGCTCCACGCCGCAGAGGTCTCGGTCACCACGTCGGATGTCCCTGAGATACTGTGCAGGCCGTTACAAACTGCAGCATTACGACTCTTGTATAGATTATGTTCTCAATGAGATCATCATCAGCAGAATCAGCAGCCATGATCGATCCGCTGCTACATGAAAAACTCCCAAATTCGTTGCTACACCCTCTCGATCCAGCAATGCAACAATCCGCGTGGTACCGCCATCTCAATTCGTCACACCATCTCCCCGCCCCTCCGACATGGCCTCCTCCTCCTCCTGGGCTGCCACTCCGCCACCACCATTCTAGACCGGAGGCCATCGGCCCTTCTCCCCCCCCCCCCCTCCCGCGGCTCAACTCCTCTCAGCAGTCCGATTGGCCCCGGGGGCTCTTGGCCTGCGCACACGTCCCCATATCCAGTTGCGTTCCTCTCTCCGTCTCACCCCCCCTTCCCCCCCCCCCCGTGTCTCTCGATGGGGCCCCGTTGCTTGGTCTAAGATAACGGTCACCTCTCTCTCTGTGCGTCTCGTCTCACTAAAGTGTCACCCCTCCCCCGTCTCCTCTCGGGACTGCGGCTCATGGGACGGGAGGATGGGCAGGGCAAGGGGAGTTGTTCAGAACCTGAATGCCAAGTCCCTTGGACGCCCGCCCGGCCATTTCCTGGAGATTACACAGAGTCGAAGGGGAGGGGGAGCGAGGGGGAGCGAGGGGGGGGCATAAGACCCCCCCCCCCTCCTCCCGCCCTCCTCCCGCCCTCCCTATTCCTCTGCGTCTCTTCCTACCTCCCTGGCTCACTGCCACGTCTCCACGCCTATCCGGTGCGTCCAATGGCGCCCGCCTCCGATAACTACCACTCACTCACTCCCCTCTGTAGGGAGAGAGGCGGCGGGAGGGTGGGGGGCACGAGAGTTACGGTTAACCCCCCCCTCCCCCCGCCATCCATCTCGTGATTGAATTGTTCAAAAATCCATTTACCTTGTGTTACACCTGCGGTGAGGATACCGGCCTCTAGTGGGCGGAAGGGGCCCCATTAATGACATTGCATTCCATAATGCGAATATAATTAATGAATGAAGGGGGAATGGCCGACTCGAGTTGGGAGCATCGCATTGACCAAGGTCGGCAGGACGAGCGCGCGGGTGGCGCTCGGGTCACGCGCGGGTGGCACGCGGGTGGCACGCGGGTGGCACGCGGGTGGCACGCGGGTGGCACGCGGGTGGCACGCGGGTGGGTGGCGCAGCGCGTGGGTGCGTGGGTGGCACGTGGGTGCGTGGGTGGCGCGTGGGTGGGTGGCGCGTGGGTGGGTGGGTGGCGCGTGGGTGAGTGGCGCGGCGCGTGGGCCCGTGGCACGGAACCTGTGGGGGGAGTTCGGTGCCGAAGCTGAACTCACCACAGCGCCACTCGGTTCCGTCCCAGCACACAAACACCACGGGCTAGTCGACGAATAAAGAATCGGCTTTACCCCTTGCCGAAAGGATACAGGAGGCGTCATATTATTATTATTGCTGCAAGGCATGAAGTCTGCATTAATCACGCAGGATTGTGGTGGTCAATGCAAGACTTGACGATGCCTTGCAATAGGTGTCTATTTAGGGTTTGAGCCTCCTGTTTTTATTACCGGAAAGGGTGAAACCTATTATAGTTCATTCATCATCTTGATAGCGGCACAAAGGGTCCCAAATATACATCGGTAATTGTTCAGTCCATCACCCTATTGGCTTCTCGTGCACCGATATTACCCAGCAGCCTTGTTCCCGAGTTTGTGAATGAAAAACATTTAAATCATTCACATGTTGTCTCACAAACTATCCACTAAATGCATTACAATGATCTATCGCCACAACTGATTTACCTACAAACTTCAACGGCGCCGTTCGTTGCTGGCCACTTGGTGGAATTTGGATAGAAAACGCACTACGAGTTTAATCCCCCACGGGTCCACGCAGACAGCAGCGCAGCAACAACCACCGCCGCCAATAAGACAAAGACCTCCCGTGTAGCCTTCACAGACTCTTGGGGCAAGTGCTACGAGTGAGCACTTACGCAGGCCGGCACGGCACCCGATGGGTTGGGGGTTGCCAGCACCGCGCCCGGCTGCCTTTGTGTTGATGTTTTTTTTACACACCGCACCAGGTACTCATTTGAGGCCGAGTCTACCAAGGGGAATGCCAAGGACCGGTTCAGATAATCTTCACCGGTGTTGGTGGTGGCCTTGAGCGGGGGAATCAAACTCGGGTTTTGCCGGGCTCTCGGCGCAACGCGCTAACCACTGTGCCACCGCTCCCCATACCCCCACCACTCCTAAGACTGCCAAGACAACCACCACCACAACCACCACCACCACCACCACGTACACGCCCTGTACACAAACACGGCGACGCCCGCCCACCACACCCAGTGCTCCACCGGCTCACGCAACCCCCCGGTGACGCGGTCCCGCGGGCCAGCGCAAGAAGAGTTCATTGCCTCCTCCTCCAAACTTCATCACCCCCCCGCCCATCCCCCACCCCCTCCCTCGTGTTTTTCTGGCCATCTTTGGTGTGTGTTTGCTCGCGACGGGGATAGTTTTGGAGCGGGGTTATGGGGGGGGGAGGAGGTTGGGAGGGGAAGGTATGGGGGCGAGAGGGAGGGAGGAAGGGTGGTGGTGGAGCCGCTAAGAGGTCGGAGGGGAGGGAGTTGGGTTTACGTGACGGACAGAGTTGTTGTTGTGATGACCGCGAGGGATGGACGATTCATTTTACTCCATTCGATTCGAGGAATGAACAAAAAAAACAACTCAATGCATTTGTCAATAACACCGCGTGTGTGGCTATGAGAGTGTGGCTATTGCTATGCGAGTGAATAAGTGCCTGTGACTAAAGCTATCGCGATGGGAGTGTGTGAGTGAGTATTCTTCTTGGTTCTTTCGATAAAGTCACGTAGAAGGGAAATAATGAAATAATAAAAATTAAGCATAATAAAATACAATTCTCACGACGTTTCGGCCACAACACAAGCAGCCGTCCTCAGGTGAAGAACAGGTCTGTCGGAAAGACAGCGTCTGAATGAGCACCACCAAGCTTGGCAGCGTATATGAGTGAGTATTGAGTGGGTGAGCGAGTGAGCGGTGGTGTAGCGGCTAGCGCGCTATGAACCTGGCGACCCGGGTTCGATTCCCGCCCATGGCCAACACTGGTGACGATTATCTGAACCGGTTCTGGGCCTCCCCTAGGTCGACTCAGCCTCAAATGAGAACCTAGCGCGGTGTGTAAACATCGTCACTGGGGAGACAAAGGCGGCCAGGCGTGGTGTTGGTCACCCACCGCTGCGTGTGCCGTGCCTGGCCTTCATCGGTGCTCGCTATAAGCACTTGCCCCAACAGTCTGTTCAGGCTATACAGGGGATCTTTGTGTTTGCGTGCGCGAGCGAGCGAGTGTGCGGCGTGCTCACCCGTGGCGCTGGAGCTCCAGCAAGCCGCCCGCGGCCCCTCTCGGCGAGGATCGGTGCAGGCCGTCGGTGGAGGCACTCTCCTCGTCCTCGTCGTCCACGTCGTCCACGTCGTCCACGTCGGAGCCCACGTCGCTCTCGCTCTCGCGCTTGACGCGCGGCGACAGGTCCAGCCCCGAGTCCACCGACTGGGACGCTGCGCCCGTGGGGACAAGGAGCAGCGGGTGGGCGGGAGGGGGGGACACGGGAGAGACGTCTTTAAGCCTAGGTTTGTAACCAGTGCCGTGGCGCGGTTGGCATGGACCATCTCACTCTCCTCCTCACCCAGCGCCCCACGCCCCCACCCACCCCCTTCTATGGGTCTCTGCGTTAGCCTTTGAGTCTCTAGGTTAGCCTATGGATTTGTAGGTTAACCAACGGGTATCATTATTAGCCTATGAGTCTCTATGGGAGGCGATGGGTCACCGAGTAAGTGTAGGAGTCTCCGTATCGGAGTGCAGTTGACATGGACCCTCGTGCAAGAAACAGCAATGCACCCCCCAAATATATCCAATTCCGCTCCCCCCCCCCCCACCTCCTTCCCCTGCATCTTCGCAGCCCGGCACCTATTTCCAGGTGCCCCTAAGGTACGGCGGATCGGGACGACTGCCCCGGGCCCCACGTTTTGGGGGGGGGGGAAGCAGGGGCCCCGCACTTTGACATCACAGCGTCAGATGTAACACTTCGGGGTTTAGTTTAAAGGCGTCGAAGGGGATCCACACGGTGCGATTTGCTCCGGGGCCCCGCATCCCCTGAATGAACGGCCTTGCCTCTTGTACAAGTTGCGTTGATACGACCACAGCCGCGGTTGGCAAACAAACGCACACACGCACGCATGCACGCACACACGCACGCACGCACGCACGCACACGCACGCACACACGCACGCACACGCACGCACACGCACGCACACGCACGCACACGCTCGCACGGCCCTGACGATGCGCGCGTTGGTCACGGACGCGTCCGCTCACTCTTGAGCTGCCCCTTGGCCTCGTGCACCCCCAGCTGGCTCGCCGGCAGCAACGGGTCCATCGGCAGCTCGTACTCTCCGACGTAGTGGCCCGCGTGGTGGTGGCCCGCGTGGTGGTACGGCAAAGCCGCGGGGTGGTGGGGGAGGTGCCGCATGCCGTGGTCCAGCGCGCCGCCCGGGTGGCCCGAGTGGCCCGGGTGGCCGGCGTGCGCCGGCACCGGCGTGCAGATGACGGCCAGCTGGATCGCGTGGCCCGGCCCGCCGCCCATGGGGTTGACCACCTGCAGGTAGCCCTGCTGGGAGCCGGGCGGCGCGGCGGACAGCAGGGAGCCCGAGGGCAGCAGCGTGGACACGGGAAGTGAGAAACCCTGCAGGAGGTGCGAGGGAGGCGGGGGGCCGCCCGCCCCCCCACCGCCGCCCCCCCCGCCGGGCTCCGCGGACGCGAGGAGGTAGGAGGAGGAGTAGAGGTCGTGCGGGCCGCCCCCCGACGGGTACGTGACGGGCCGCGAGGGCGAGCTCCGCGCGGAGCCCAGGCCGGAGGCGGCCGGGTACGGGACCAGCTGGTGGGTCGGCGGCGGTGGGGACGGCGACGGCGCCGGGTTCGTCCGCGCGCGGCCCCCCGACGAGGTCGGCGGGGAGGAGGAGGACGAGGAGGAGGAGGAGCCGCCACGCGTCGTCGAGTGAGACTGCAGCACCGACTGAGCGTGGCCGTGGCCGATGAAGAGGCCGTGGTTTAGGCCGTGGTTGAGGCCGTGGTTCAGGTTGAGGCTGTGGTTCAGGTTGAGGCTGTGGTTCAGGTTGAGGCCATGGCTCAGGGCCAGGCCGTGGAGGCCGTGGCGAGACAGCGACGCGTCGTCCACGGAGCGCGACTTGACGGAGAGCGGCGGCGCGTGGGTGGCGCGGGGGTGGCGGGGGCCGCCCGACGGCGGCGGGGAGCCGTGGGCGCCGCCGGAGCTCCGCTGCTTATTCACCGTCAGGTTCAGCGGCTGCTCCTGCGCATCCATCGCGTCCCGCTTGAAGGCGGAGTACGCGTCGGGATGAACGTGGGACACGTAGTTGTTCATCTGCGGGCGAGCGGACAAGTCGGTTAGTTGGAGACGGTGCCGTGCGTGAAGGCGGAGGGAGCAACGTGGTGCGACGTGTTAGCGCCCTGCGCTATGAACCCGACGACCTGAGTTCGATTCCCGCTCATGGCTAACAATACCGGTGACGATTAACTGAACCGGTTCTGGGTCTCCCCTAGGTCGATGTGTGTAAACATCTGTGCTGGGGAGACAAAGGCGGCCGGGCGTGGTCCTTGGCCTTTACGACCGTACCAACTCATCCAGCAGTGGACTAACCATGGCGGTTGATGACGTGTCTGTAGGACAGCTAACCCGAGTCAGTGCCCACGAGAACGAAAAGAAACTCAACTCACTCTGCGGTGTCCTTCACAAAAATACATTCATTTATATATTTTCATGGCAGGCGTGCATGTGCAGTGGTGACGTCACAGCATCTGCGCGACGACGTCACGAGGGTCGAGCCGGATTCGTGCGTCACGCCGACGTCACGCACCCCCCGACACTTTAACCTCACCCAGGCGGAATACACCAGCATGCTACACTATATTAGTCAAAGTTTTGCTGGCTGGCTGACTGAAGGATTGCCTCAATAAGGACGTCCAGGCTGCAGGTAAAATACAAGTGTCCCTCGCTCTACGCGGGTTCGTTCCATGCGATTCCGCGCTGTGTACGCGGCTAGCCCATCTCTAAATGTTCGCTCTGCCGTGCGGTTTGAATTCAGTCGGCATGCGGCTCTGCGGTCGGACGTGGCAGCTCCATCGTGCGCCCTTTTTATTTTGGAAAGCATCTACCGCTCAAAGCGCGCAGCCTCGCCACAGCAACTGCTCGAGTGAAGGGGTGTGGGGGGGGACGAGGAGCAATGCTGATTGGGCGGGCGCCCTGTGCGGTTCCCCGAGTTCGGAATGAACGTGATGACGAGGCGAGTTCGTTGTTGTTTTTGCTGCTGCTGCTGCTGCGGTTGTTGTGGTGGCTAACGCGCCCTCGCGCGCACGCGATGCTTGACATGTCGCCGTATTCTGCGTAACCAGCCACTATTTGCTCTCCCCCGGGGATTAAACGCGCCCCTCCGTAATGACTCTGTAAACAACCAACGCCACGGCCGCGATTAACAAGGGTGTGTGCGTCTCTGTGGGCGCCTCTGTAGGTTGACTCAGCGTCAAATAAATACCTGGTGTGGTGTGTAAACATCGTCACTGGGGATACAAAAGCGGCCGGGCGTGGTGTTGGCCACCCACCCTCTCGTGTGCCGTGCCGGCCTTCATAGGCGCTCTTGCCCCAACAGTGTTGCTAAAGGCTGTACCCGGGGTGATCCTTGTTTGTCTGTGTACGTGCATATGGGTGGCAGTGGCGTGTAGAGTTGGAATCCCGCTCACGACGAATACATGAACAGGTCCTGAGCCTCCCCGGGGAGACAATGGTGGCCGGGAGTGGTGTTGGCCACCCACCCCTTCTCGTCTGTAATGCCGTGCTCACCTTCAATCGGTGCCACTCGCTCACGAGCACTTGCCCCGAAAAGTCTGTCCGGGAATCTTTGTCTTTGTGTGTGGGTGTGTACTTGGGCAAGTTGTGTTCCAGGCATGGGCAGGTCCGGAACGGCGCGTCAATAATTCACGGCTTTGAATCCCCCCCCCCGACCCCCTCGGGCATGGGCGTGTATTGTTTGGCTGTGAGACGTCCCCCACCACGCCCCCCCCCCCGCCAACCCCACACCCAGCTCGTTCACAAAGGGATCACGCGCAGACACCCCAAGCCCTTTCTGGGAATCGGGTGTGGTTGAGTGCTGTGTGGGGGGTGGTTGAGTGGCGAGGGGGGGTAGTGTGGTTGAGTGGAGAGGGGGGTCAGTGTGGTTGAGTGCTGTGTGGGGGGTGGTTGAGTGGCGAGGGGGGGTAGTGTGGTTGAGTGGAGAGGGGGGGGCAGTGTGGTTGAGTGCTGTGTGGGGGGTGGTTGAGTGGCGAGGGGGGGGGGGGGCAGTGTGGTTGAGTACTGCGGGGGTCGTGGAGGAGGTGGCAAGGGGCTGCCAGTGTTGAGTTTGTGGATGAGTGGGTGGGCAGGGAGCTACCGCCACCACCTTGTCACGCCACAGCACCGGGTCACTACCATGCCACGACAGCCAACAGCCTTGCCACTCCACGTGGGCTCTTGGTCAATGTTCGCAAGACGGAGCGGAGCCCGTGCGCGGGAGCGGTATGGATTGTGGCGACGGCCGTGGGGGGAGGAGTAGGAGGGGAGGCCTTCATCCAGCAGTGGCTAGAACACGACCTCTGCCGCTCTGCCACATTTCCCACGGCTCCTGAGGCCCTTCGCCTCAAAACTCGCAAGGGGTCTGCGTGGACCAGACTGGTTCCAGACTGGTTCCGCGTGGCGGTGGCCGTGGCTATGTTTAAGATGAGGAAGCGAGTGCCGTGCGTGATCGAGAGAGCCGTGTGTGTGTGGGAGCGGTGGCGCAGCGGTTAGAGCATTGCGGTTTTTGTACCAACTCAGCCACCGCAGTTCGATCCCCGAGTCACGCATAACGTCCTGCTGACCCCCCCCCCCCGCCCCTGCCCAAGTTGACTCAGCCGATGCAGTGAAGAACTCAAGGCAGTCTCGCGTGCTCACGGCTCAAGTGGCGGAAGGGCCTCCACTAGAGCGGACCCTACAGGAGGGTATTCGGCCTAGTCTTCCACCACCCTCGACCTGCATATCGACTAACCGTGCTTTACCCGTTTATATACTGCTGGCCGACGAGACAAAGATGGCCGGGCGTGGTTACATAGCCACGACACACTCCAGGCCCCCAACTCGTGTGGACTGCGTTCACCTGAATAGGCGCTTGCTAACGGAAACAACAGCAACTTCGCCAGCAGTCTGTACGGATGGGGGGGGGGGGGCACGCCATAGCCAGAAACACATCCGTCAACCGCGATCAAATCGCTTGGTGGTTGTATTGTGGATATACTCGCCCCCGGCACGGGGATGTGGAATTTCCGTCCACTTCCTTATGGTCCCCACCAACACAATCTCTTCCCTTAAAAATATTACACTTTTGTTTATTCTCCTGCGTCTCCTTCCTTCTCCTCCCACCTCCTCCCCCCGCTCCCCTACCTCAACACACCCCCACCTCCAACGCCAAGCTGAGTCAGATGACTCCTGCTCGGCTCCCGAGGAGCGACACAGACACACCATTGTCCCTCTCCTTCCCTCTCCCGACTCCCCGCACCCCTCCCCAGATCTCCATTGCTCGACTCCCGCCACCACCCCACCCACAAAGGAGAAATATCCCCCGTATAGCCTTCACAGACTTTTGTGGCAAGTGCTGTTCGCGAGTAGCACCTTTGAAGGTCGTCACGGTACACGCGCGGGTGGGGTGGCTAGCAACACGCCCGGCCACCTTTGTCTCCCTAATGGGAGACACCATCAGCCTGTGTGAGCTGCACGTGCTCTGCCATTAATCAATTCTCGCGCGCACAATTCGGTCCGTGTCTTGCGAGCACCCCAGTTATATTTTATGGTAAAACTCAGATATGAATTTCGTCACGAATCAGTCGACAGGTAGGCCCAAGTTTGATCAACAAATTAAATCACGATCGTAGCCAGTAACAAAAGCACATTGTCTGCCCCAATGTTCTTTTGGGGTTTTATTTTCGCAGCCAGATTTATTGTCTCCCTGCATATGAACCCGAGACCGGTTTCCACTTCGAGATTTCATCAGCAGCGTGTGGCCGGTTAAACAAATGCCCCAGGGTTGTTTGGTGTTGAGTCTATAAAAATATACAAAAACCCAAGTGGATTTAAACTACTCCAACAACTATCATTGCCATCGCCACCTCACAACCACCAAGAACCCCGGACTACTTTTTCAATTCCACCACCACAAAGACAAAGATACCCCGTGTGGACTTAAAAGGCTGTTTGGGCAAGTGCTGTTTGCGAGTCGCACCTATGAAGGCGGGTACGGTACACGAGGGGGTGGGGTGGCCAGCACCACGCCCGGCCGCCTTTGTCTCCCGAGTGGCGATGTTTACACACCACACCAGGTTCTCATTTTAGGTCGAGTGGACCTAGGGGAGGCCCAGGACCACGGCAACAACTATCACCAAAATGACCGTATTCACCACACAGACGACACCACCACTAAGAACACAGTCACACCGCCACCACGACCACAATCACAATAACCACCACTAAGAACACAGTCACATCGCCACCACGACCACTGCATTCTTGGTCATCGCAGCAGAGCCCACCACCATCACCACTGACCCACCACACCACCACGACCGTGATCACCAGGACTAAAACTATACCACAATCCACAACACCAACACTGCAACCACCATATTCTTGGGTCAAAGAAAATAACAAACAAAAAAGTAATATTTAAAATACTTTTTTTACAACACGCTTTAATGAAATCTACCGTACGAGTAATGGCAGAACTCCACGACTCCAGGAAGTGGCCCTGAAGCTTGCCATAACGTAAGGGGTCGTGGCCAATTACAGCCAACGTCAGTTGAGCGTGGACAATTAGACCCAAGCCGAAATATAACATAGAAAAAAGAATGTTTAAAAATATTTATTTTTTATGTTTAATGATAGAATATAGTATTGTCATGCGTATGAGGCACACACACACTGGCACAACTGAACCATAACCCAGGCGCCTCCTGCCTCCTAAATAGCTCCACGGCGTCCTTACAGCATTCCCAGCGCCGGGAGACGGAGCGAGTCCCACACTTTCCTAAACATCAGCAGCAGCAGCAGCTGCGGCGTGACGCAACCTGCCCTGCACCCCTTCTCCCCTCCCCTCAGCCCCCAGCCCCCACCCATCCCCCTCTCCACTAACAGCTCCCCCCACCCAACCTCCCCTCGCCTCCCGACTCCAACTCCCCACGCCCTCCGGCTTCGTGGGGGCGTGGGTAGACTACCCCGGGCGGAGGAGGAGAGATTGGACGAGGATGGTGGGGGGTGGGGGTTGGTCTGCTCGTGTGTGTGTGTGAGAGAGAGTTGGCGGTGGAGAGGGGAGTTGGTTGGAGAGGGTAGGGTGGGAGGGAGGAGTGAGTGTGAGAGAGAGTTGGAGGTGGAGAGGGGAGTTGGTTGGAGAGGGTAGGGTGGGAGGGAGGAGTGAGTGTGAGAGAGAGAGAGTTGGAGGTGGAGAGGGGAGTTGGTTGGAGAGGGTAGGGTGGGAGGGAGGAGTGAGTGTGAGAGCGAGGGGGGGAGCAGCTGCCCTCAAACACCGAGGTCACAGTCACGCTGGGAGGCACGCAGGTATGAACCCCACCGCCGCACGGGGGCCTTGCCCACGCTCACCTGCTCTTACCTGTGCGCACGACAACTCAGTGCCGGCCCACTGCTGATGAGACCCCCAACGGTCGAAACTGCCCCCAAGAGCGTTCTTGTTGAACCAAAAATTGCTGGATAAATATTGGGTCAAGGACGCTCTTTGTCTGGTGGGCCGATTTTTTGTTTGCATTTTTTTTTACGAATATATTTATTTTATTGTAAAGAGAGACAGACGAAATAGTGTCTATCCACCTAAGACTGTCACCCACGCAGTCACCCACCCAGTCACCCACGCAGTCACACTCGAACATGACCGACCTGGCTCTGGCTGACGAGGTCCGCATCGTCACCGATTGTCTCGGCACGGTTTGCGTGCGGAGCGTCTACACCAAGATTGCGCCGATGCCGCAGGGTGGTGGCCACGCTGCACGTGGGCCTAGACTCATCCGGCGGCGAGGGGTGGTGGATTACCACTAAATGTTGCGATTCACGCAGGGATTCATTCAAAGAAGCAGGAAAATTAATTAAAGAGCGAGAGAGAGAGAGACTGATTTGAGATTTTGGCAGAAGGACGGTGTACGCGGCACGGTGGCGCAGCATCGGCCCTCGACAAGGGATGGGAGGGGGGTGGGGGAGTGCTTACGGCCGCCTCTTGGAGGCTGCCAGATGCACTGTACGACAAGACGGTGGCACGGCTGCGACGGCCGTGCCACACAGGACGCGCTTGTCTGAACCCCGCGCCACCTTGAGACGGGGCGAGCCGCCCCGGTTGCGATGGCGCAAACTCACCATCGCGTCGGTGTCGCCAGGCTCCGTCTTCACGCGAGCGGGCATCTTCTCGATCATCAGCATGGCCGTGCGTGCTCTCCGGCCGGCGCCTCGTGCGGGGGGGAGGGGGGGTGGGGCAGTGGCTCTCGTGGCACCGGTGACTCTGGAAGACAGCGAACGGCGAACAGGGCCTCGTCTTAAAGTCTCGACACAAAAAATGTTAATTTGTTAATTAAAAAATAAAACCTTGAGGACATCGCAGTGACAGTAAAACGATGGAAGCCACCAGAAACGCAACTTTGCCGTAGTGAGCACTGGTGGCGAAACCCTGTTGATGAGCTCTAATGGCAACGAAACCAGGCAACCGTTGTTGTCTATTGCTGCTGCCGCTTGCCGCTTTCGGTGGTGTCAAATTCATCTCGGCTTTAGGCGAGTAGAACGGTGAGGCGGGGAGCGTGATGAGAGGGGGGCGAGGATGGCTCCACCATTGGGAGGATTTGGTGAAGGACGATGGATGAACCGCAAGGAAGCACCGTGTGCTCTGCGGTGAGAAATCAGGCGGGATGACGAGAGGGGCGAGGAGAGGGAGTTAGGAGGGCCATACCGACCCGGAGCAGGAGTTGAACTTGAGCCAGGAGCGCATCGCGCCCTTTGGCGGGACGAGCCCTTCGGGAAAAAAAGGCCTCGCGGGGGCAGGGGGGGCGCCCGGTTGTTTACGCAATCGGGGTGGCGAGACCGGCAGGAAGAGTCAGGAGGGGGGTGGAGTTGAGGCTGACAGGGAGAAAAGGGAGATAGAGAGATGGGGGGGGGGGTGAAAGGGGAGATAGGAAGGGGAGGGAGACAGGGGAGGGAGGGGAGAGAGGAGAGGCAGCGAGGGATGGGAGAGTGCGTCCATCGGGACCCAATTCATCGCTGGAAATAGCGACCCGCGTACAGGGAGCGCGTACAGATGCTGCGGGTTTTGGTCGTAGTAACGTGCGGAGCAATTTGTGGGGAGGGGAGTGCGGTGTGTGTGGGGGTGTGGTCGGTTGGGTGTGTGTGGATTGGTGTGTGGTGTGACAGTGATGTGGGGTGGGATTGCAAATGTTACAAAGCAGCAGCTGCGTCTGTCGCAGGTAAGTCGCAGGTAAGTCGCAGGTAAGTCGCAGGTCGCGCTTCACGGGAATGACGGCTTCACCAAAAACACTCCGCGTCTCTCCAATCACGACGGCTCGTCATGGACACGCGTGCTGGTGAGAGACAACTTGGCGTGACCTAATCACCCAACTTTTACCTAGATATCCACTCAGCCCCCCCCCCCCACCTCATCCCCCCGTCCCCACCCTTACCCCCCACACCACTCAGCTACCCACCCCATTCCGCACCCTTACCCCCCCCCCCACACCACTGAGCTACCCACCCCAGCCCCCACCACCCACCCCCAGCCCCCACCCTTACCCCCCACACACCACTCAGCTACCCACCCCATTCCGCACCCTTACCCCCCCCCCCACACCACCGAGCTACCCACCCCAGCCCCCACCCCACCCCAGCCCCCACCCTTACCCCCACACACCACTGAGCTACCCACCCCATTCCCCACCCTTACACCCCCCACACCACTGAGCTACCCACCCCAGCCCCCACCCCCAGCCCCCACCCTTACCCCCACACACCACTCAGCTACCCACCCCCAGCCTCCACTCAGCTCGCCCAGTCACCGGTCCCTCACCTCGCCCCTCACACCTGCACGTGGAGAGACACCACGTGCCCCACGTGGCCAATCGTCTCGGTTCAGTAGAAGCGGCCGTTAGACAAATACTGGAACCCCATTCACCCACAGAGAGAACGATTTTGTGAATCGCGGCGATTCCCATTCTACAATTGACTCTATTATTTCGTGTGTGTGAATAGTGGTGATCCGTTACATACGCAGAGACCCATCGGCTCTCACGGAGAGACCCATAAACTGACACAGGGACCCATAGACGAACAAAGAAACCCATCGACTTGCACAGAGATCCATAGACTTGCAATATCAACCTACGACTAACTGCAACGTCCTCTGTGACATGGATACACCCAGCCGCTGTGCACGGTGTGTTGACATGCAGGCGCTTTCAGACGTTGCTCCGATCCACATTGTTACTGCCTTGTGTGACATGAACTCACTCAGAGGTATGCCCGAAGACTCACACAGAGACCTCCACAGACACCCGTAGAAATCTATCGCCTCACACAAAGACGCCCACAGCCTTGCACAGCCACAGACGCACACAGAGACCCAATCACTTGAAGACACTCGCACATGAGACTCGTCACAGCGTACACCACGATGCTCCCGAGAAAATAAAAACGCATTGTGTTCAGCATCGTCATGAGCTGCAGTCGCTACTCAGACGGCTCTGTACACACACCGCCGCATTGCATTCTCATTGTTCCGCGTTTGCCTCCCAGCGGCTTCGTGGTGATGATGGGGGGGCGAGGTTCGTGGTGGGGTTTCTGGGGGAAGGAGCGAGCAGAGTGGCGGGGGAGGTCGGGGTGTGGTTGGCGGTCGCCTCGCGAGGGCTGGGCACCCGGGTTGGACTCCGGGGCGAGGTTCCACGCCCGCCTGGGAACGCGACTCTCGCGGCCGGCGTTGCGACCCGCACCTGGGACGCGGTTTCCTGCTCTGCGGCTGCGTGACCCCATCCGAGCTGGGGGTGACACGGGGCGAGGTGGAATCAGAACGAAACCACCCCCACCTCCCTCCCTCCCTCCCTCTCCCATGGGAGCCCACGCACTCACGCACGTACTGTTGTTACCTTCACACTTAATGACACACAATAATGACACACACAATGATGACAAAGATCCCCCTTATAACCTGAGCAGACTGTTGGGGCAAGTGCTGTTAGAAAGCACCTATGAAGGCCGGCGCACGAGCACATATAAAAAAAACATAATTTTCAGCACGTATGTCATCAAAGGTCCTCTTAATTACGAGGTTGGCGAGTTGGGGTTCAAGTTGAAACTTCTTGACGAGGTGAGAACTCGTGAGACCACGCAGGATCGTCTCGTTTTGCAAGGATGACCGGGCTGCAGTAACTGGCCAGGGATGGTGTCGTGCGTCTGTACATCACTGAAAGTTGATTCTTTCTAGCCAATGATGATGGTGGTGGTGGTGGCGATGGTATACCAATCATCGGGCGCGTGCGGCGTGTCCTTACGTAGGCGCCGTTTTGGGCGGTTGTGCCGTGCTGCCCCCACCCTCTCCTCGCCCGCAACCCCTGCCTGCTTCTACCAGCCATGTGTAGTGCACAGAAACAAAACACCCCGCAGCCCAGAGCCAGCAGCCCACAGCCAGCTGCTCAGGGCTATTTTGACGCTAATTACTCCGCTCGCTGAGCCGAGTCGGCTTAATGGGTGGTGGGGGTGTGTGGGAGGTGCGGGGGGGGTGTGTGCGAGGTGTGGGGGGGTGGGGTGTGTGGGGGTGGGTGTGGGGGTGGTGTGTGGGAGGTGCGGGAGAGTGCGGGTTTGTGGGGGTGTGGGGGAGTGGGGGGTGTGGGGGGGGTGGTGTGGGGGTGGTGTGGGGGTGGTGTGTGGGAGGTGTGGGAGAGTGGGGTGTGTGGGAGGGTGGGGGTGCGTGGGAGGTGTGGGGGGGGGGTGCGTGGGAGGTGTGGGAGAGTGGGGGTGTGTGGGAGGTGTGGGGGGGGGTGCGTGGGAGGTGTAGGGGTGCGGGGGGGGGTGTGTGCATGCGTGGGGCGAGCAGACACACATCAGCACGCACAGACAAAGATCCCCCGTAGAGCTCCAACAGGCCGTTGGGGCAAGTGCTGCTCGAGAGTGGCGCCTATGAAGGCCGGCACGGCACGCGAGGGGGTGGGGCGGCCAGAACCACGCCCGACCGCTTTTGTCTCCCTCGTGGCGACGTTGACACATCGCGTGCCAGGTGCTCATTTGAGGCTGAACAGAGCCAAGGGAATCCCAGGACCGGTTCACAAAATCGTCACTGGGTGTTTGGTGGCCGCGAGCGGGAATCGAATTCTGGCCGCCGGGATCGTAGCGCAGCTCGCTAACCGCTCCGCCACCGCTCCCCTACGCAGCCGCACAACACCCGCACAACACGCGCACCCGCACAACACGCGCACCTGCTCGTGTCACGAGGAGCCACTGCGATAGCGCCACTAATTCACTTATCCGGTTTCAAACGGGCGGTGTGTGGCAGTCTTCTGTCCAGAATGCGTTCATTTCCCACCCCCGTGTTCCGATTGCGAGGGCTGCCGATACGAACTCGGCCCCGAGCTTGACCGGCTGAGTTCGATTCCCGGCCACGGCTAACATCAGTGGCTCTTCTTCGCAGCACAAAGAGGTGGAATATGGAGAGGAGCCTCTATATGTGTTGAGTCATTGCCCAAAACGTCGCCCATTACAAAAAAATGTCCTTTTAAGGAGACAAAATATGTTTGACAAACGTCTTAATTGGTTGTATTTTGTAGGACAACCACTGCTGGACAAAGTGGCACTCAATTTATCAACCCCGGTGGGATGATGGGCTGGGTCAAATCCCTCTCCCTCCCATGCCAAGCCCAACCCGGATATAAACCCGAATCCTTCGCTCTCCGGCTGAGCCACGTGGACGAGCCGAGTTGGAACCCCCCGCGGCGATGGCCATGGCACTGCCACTAGGATGGAGTCGGCGCTGTCACCAGAGAGGTTGACTCACAGAGCGGGGGGGGGGGGGGGGGAGTTCAACTCGGGGTCGAGTGTCGGCTCAAGTTCACCCCACGGTGACGAGTTAAAGAGTCAACATTCATCATCGTCGTCAGTTACCACCACCACAAACGTTATCATCCTCATCACCACCACTACCACCATCATCATTATCATAACCAACAACATCACCATCATCAGCTACCCATCTTCAAATCATTCGGTGCTGCGACTGCGTTGGCAGTGGTACACAAAGCCCTCGCCTCCCCTCCAGCTTGGACCAGGCCTAGCCCAACCACTACCCCCCTAGCACGATCCCTACTACTACTACCACCCCAAACACTATCACTACCACGACCCCTAACACCAACCACTACCACGATCCCAACCACGATTAACTACCACTACCACACTACCACTATCCCTACACCAACCACTATCACACTACCACTACCCCAACCAAAACTACTATCAACTACCACTACCCCTACC